AGAAGTAGAAGTAGTAGTAGTAGTAGTAGTAGTAGTAGTTGTTGTTGTTGTTGTTGTTGTTGTTGTTGTTGTTGTTTGTTGTTGTTGTTGGTTGTTGTTGGTTGTTGTTGGTTGTTGTTGGTTGTTGTTGTTGTTGTCGTCGTCGTCGTCATCGTGGTTGTTGTTGTTGTTGTTGCTGATGCTGTTGTTGTTGTTGTTGTTGTTGTTGTTGTTGTTGGTGTTGGTGTTGGTGTTGGTGTTGTTGTTGTTGTCGTTGTCGTCGTTGTTGTTGTTGTTGTTGTGGTTGGTTGTGGTTGGTTGTGGTTGGTTGTGGTTGTGGTTGTGGTTGTGGTTGTGGTTGTTGTTGTAATGTGAACGAACCATTGGCCTAAAACCTTAAACCCTGAACTGCAGGTTCAGCTTTAGATTCCTGAAGCTACCTCCAATTCACCTGCAGCTCCATTGTCGGAAGACGGTCCTGCATAAGTCCCAGTAGCGTTGTTGTTGTTGTTGTTGTTGTTGTTGTTGTTCTTGCTCCCATCAGTTTTAGCATGGCCATTACTGCAGTGCCTAGCAGCGAACCTGTCAGGCATGCTCATTCGGAACGAGCCACTTGCCACAAATGCGGTACGTTTGTACCTTGAGTCGGATAATTAGCCTTCGCCGGCTTTACAGCAAAGGTTTGTGGTCGAGGGGTTCAAGCTGCACACTGAGACGATAGGCCGATAGGCTTGTTCGTTTCAACTTGTCTTGTGTTCTTTGATTTCGGAGCCTGAAGGTGAAGTGTTTCTGGCTTTTGAGTGCTTTGGAGCACAAGGGCTTTGAGGGTGGGGGCTAGACTCCGACCCTAAGAGCGCAAAGCAGACGAGAGTCGTCACCTCTAAGCCTTCGAAGCGGAGCCTCAGCATGCAGTGATCTTCGTCTCTGCAGATCGACATATATATATATATATATACACATGTATGTGTATATACACATGCATACATAATTATCTACATATACCTCTCCCTGCCTATATATATATATATATATGATGTGTGTGTGTGTGTGTCTCTTTGTGTGAGTGGCAGGTCGGCAGGTTACCCCGTTTCTCAAAAGACCGTGAGCTTCAACCAACTAGCCTCGGAAACAGTCGAAACTCTAAATGATGACGGCCCAAGGGCTGAAGTTCACTTGTCGCATAAAGAGAGTTTTACGGCGCCGAGCCCGCAACAATAACAGCCTGAATGTCCAAGCCCCCTGAGGGCCGCTTATGCTTGTTCTGTTCGCCGAGGCTTCTTGTGACGGTGGAAAACCACGGCCGGGGAGCAAAGAACTCTTGCTTTCGGGGGGGGGAGGGGCAGGGGGTAGTTTTTTTGGTTCGAAGTTCAGGGTATCGGAGATAAACAAGGTTTTGGAAGTTGAGAGGCTTGGTTTTTTCAACAGCGGCTCATTTGAAAAACCCTCCTTCTCTGGTGTTTCGGGTGTCCTGCTGTGGCTGAAACACTATACCCGCCTGCATCCGCCTGCTGATAATTTTGGCCGACGTCAAGTGTTCCGCTATCGGATTGTGCGCTGTGTCTTCAGCGCACCCAGTCCAAGACCACGCCATGCTGTGGTCGTACGATGACATGCAGACCAAAAGATTTGGTTTCAGGACCGGCAGTATGTAAAAGGAAACTGACATGAGGACCCCGCATGTCAGTTCTACTAAGTTCAGGTGGAGCTCACATTCTGGCTCGTAGAAAGCCAGTTCAATAGCGGGCTAGGGGGGCTAGGGCTCATGAGAACTACACTTGGTGGTAGCCTTACTTATAACTCTACTTGCTGAGCGCAAGGGAGGCCTTCACGGCACTTTTCGGCTCTGAAGCGAGAGCTTGAAGAGCGATTGTCAGGGGCTGCAGGGTTTCCTAAACCCTAAACCCAACACCCTAAAGTCTGCAGGGTCTGGGTGAAAACGATCTCGAATACATTTGGACGGATAGCTCCCGGTTCTCTTCGTCAGGGCTTGGCCGGCAGTAGTGTGGATTCCAGAGGTACTCCAGTAGCGTGGTTTTTGTGAACAGTCTGAGTACATAAACCCGAAAAACTCGGTCTCACTGGCCACACTTTCAAGGTTTTGTCCTGAACTCTACGCCCCACTGCGCCTTCCGCCTCAAAAAACAAAAAGAGCTCTCAGGCATTCCGCTGTCCTCTCGCTTGCCTCTGATCCTAGCAGCCGTGATGCACCCGTGGCTTGGACTGGCTTCTATTGCAGGGCGGATTCCGCTTGTGCGGATCTTCAGAGTTCAGTGTGTGTTCGGAGTTCGTTGAGTTTTCGGGGGTTGTGAGCCAGGCAGCTAGGCCGTTGAGCTTGGAGACGATGAAGAGCCTAGAACCTTTCAAAGTCCTATACTCTCAGACTGTAGTGTACGAAACCCCCGGCTCGCACCCATACTGAACACTCCGAGAGAGAGAGAGAGAGTCTTTAGACATTCCTGCCGAGGAAGCAGTTCCAATTCCAAGACGTTGTGTACCAGACTCCCGGCGGCACTTTCCGAGGTCTCTGGCGACGGAGGGCGTTTCGTCAAGGGCCCTGGGGCCTTAGGGTTCTTTGAAGCAAGAGCAATAACAGCACTCCGCAGCAGATAGAGGCCCCGGATTAAAGCTGGCAGCAGCTTTAGAGGTTTTTGAAGCATGGAGGCGCTGCTAGTCGTTTTTCCCCAGCGTGCTGCGGTCGATGGGGCGGTATGGTTGATCCCAAACAAATCGGCAAACCCTACAAGCCCTGAACCAGAAAAATCTGAATCTTGAAGTCGGGCTGTGAATCAGTATCAATCGTTCGAGGGCTGAAGGTTTGGGAGTTTAGGGCTTAGACGTGGAGTTTCAGGGTTCAGGGGGCTGGTGAGCCTAAACCCTAAACCCTAAACCCCAAACCCCAAACCCTAAACCCTAAACCCGAAGCCTTAGGGTTGAAAGCGTAAGTATCAGGCTCCAGGGACTTGAGGATTTCCTGGTCCGATCCGCTTCGAGAGTCCGGGGCCATCCGTGAGCCCACAGCGATGGGGTAGGGTTTAGGGTTTAGGGTTTGGGGTTCAGGTTTCGGAGTCTAGGGGTCTTTTTGGTGCTAAGGTCTCAGAACGTTGCGGGTTACGGTTGGCAGGGCCTTTCGCGTTGACGACATGACGAGGAAGAACAGTTGCAAGACTTGCGGTCCAAGTTCATTTATGCCGATGCTTCAAGAAAAAGTCAGAACAACTGCGTTGATTGGGCGAAAGTTCTGAATGTGATACACCGGCAGTGTGGCAAAAGGCCAGTTGCTCGGGGAGGTCAAGCAGGATCTCAAACAGTTCAAGAACATTGCTTTTACACACCTCAGGGCCAGCAAGGGAAACTGCACCGCCAATTGCACAGTACTTAGTTCGTCCATGGGGTCAGAGTCCGAGACTGCAGGCGCGGACAGGCGCCATGTGGAAGCGTTAAGATGCCGGATCACCAGCTGCCAAAGGGTTTGATCAGCGGACAAGTGCACTTGACCCTTCTTGAACCGTGCAAGCCTCAACAAATCCTGTAGCTTAAACCAGGAACGCCGACCAGCCGATACACATCTACCTCGTCATGCGAGGCTCCTGCCATTGTTGTGGGGTGCTACAGGAACCCCTGGTAATCCCCACCCCGCTTTCATGATGCGCTGAGACCTAAAGGCTATGATCGGGGTTAGGCCGGTAAGTTTCCCCGTGTCGCGTTCCAGCACTGACACGAAGAAGCGCACCCACGGCTTCAGGCTTTAGGGCTTCATGCTTGCATTCGACGACCGACCGTAGGTCAGAATGTATGTACAAGCGAAGCACACATCCGACATGCGGGGGCTTGCTGCAGACGATTTAGGGCACAAGAGCCAGACTGTTGAAGATTCTAGAGTGTGTAATCGTTCTTCCAACCGTTCTCCCAATGAAGTGGACCATTCTTTTGCAAGACCAATCGTCACAAGAGCCGTTCCGATTGCTAGTCCGATGTGTAAACGCCCGACACCCCTCGCCTAATCATGAAAGCTCTTGTTGAAAGATAGGATGCACCCCAGAGTTGGAGCAAGGAGGCACCTAGGTTCGGGTGTATCATACGACGTTGCGAGGCGCTGGCTGGGTTCGAGAAATTGGGGGTCGTTTCCCTGTGGCGCTACGAAGCTACCCGAAACATGCAAACGGCTCTCCAAAGCATCGACCATCCTGCCGCCTGACCCTGCAACTCCGATCCCGAAGCCCACGGCGAAGCCAAAGGCTGCAACCCCCGAGCCCAAAAGCCAGCGATGAATCCACTCCGCCCCGACTGCTGCAATGGAAAAGGCACCTTGGCCTTCGTCGGCACACCGCATTTCAAGGGCGGCATCGCCCCCTACACAGTGAGTGAGGCGCGCTTGCCCGATCCAGAAGCCCGTGCCAAAAAACTGAAAAGCACGTGCTTTCAACCTACCTCTACACCCTGAGACCTAAACCTGAACGGTTAAGCTTGACCTTGCAGAGAGACCTGTGAGCCCAGTTCAATCCTAGGTAGTGATGGTGCTTACTGTGCTGTATATTAGTGGCGCCTTAAGTTATTCGAGGCTCCTTTGTTTTTTGGCATGGTTCTTTGTAGGTGCCCATGTCAGTGTGAGTCGTACGGTACGACATTTCTGATTACTTGTCTCATGATCCAGTCATTGCTATTTTTCTCACGAGTCCACAAGCCTGAAATCGGACTTCGCCAACTCACCACACCTAGAAAGTGGTAATCCTGCTGAGGGCCGCTGTAGGTGGGGCTACCAAGGAACATCCCGCGCAAACCCCCAGACCCAAAACGCTGAATCTGACTTCCCAAACCCAATGCCCTAAACCACCCCAAAACCCTAAAACCACCAAACCTTAAATCCTACACCTTAAAGCCGAAGCCGTACCACCCCCTAAACTAAAAGCCCTAGACCTCAAAATCAAGGTCCGGAAATATCTTATTTCTGGAATTCCTGCAGTTTCGGGTGTTCTACCGGAGCATGTGCGTAGGGTTCAGCTGGCGTCGAAATGCAAGTATCTATGATGCGTTTGTTGGAACACTGAACCCCCAAACTTGTCCCTAAAATCCCTAAAACCCTGAGCTCTAACCTTAAGCCCCATAAGCCAATAAACCCTCAACCCTGTAGCACGAGATCATATATTGTCTACATAGGGTATAATACCAAGGAGCTCCCAAGCCCAAAGCCCGACTCCCAAAAGTTTCTCTGCGCAGATCCTTCAGGGTTCCTTTGAGGGCTTCCCTTAAGGGTTTGCTGAAGTACAGATGTGCCAGTCTC